TGGTCCTCTGGGGACCCCAACCTGCCATTGCACAGGGCTGTTCCTCCATCAGATGGGTTTGATCCACACCTCCCAGCCAGGGCCTGCGGCACAGCGCTGGTACGTGCTGGGACCGGTGGTTCCCACCCAGCTCCCTTCGGTGTCGTGAAGTCGGTCCTGTCTGTCCTCCCTTCCTCCCGTACAGTTTATGTTACAGTAACAAAAGTTAAATAATGCATGGCCCTGTTTCCTAACACCAGAGATTATTTCAAAGAGGATTTAACTGTGCTCCAAAATACAGCTATAAAACAACAACTCTTGGGTGTTTCTTTTTTAAGAAAAGTGTTACTTTTTTTCTGCATAACGGGCTCCCTCCCTCAGGGAAGGTTTCAGTTTAACACAGGCATTTCCTTTGGTTTCTTCCCCAAAGCCAGGGCTAAACCAGCTGTTGCAAACTCAGATTCCCTCTGATCTTCCTCACCTCCATGGAAGGTCAGCAGGTTTAGGCTGAGCAAGCTGTGAGCACCTGGAGCGAGGGTGGAGGCAGCAGCGGGCTTGGCTGCTTGAAACAACATACATGAAAGCAGGTAGTTGGAGTTAAAATTGACCCTGAGCAATTCTGGAAGGGACGATGGGGACCCTTTGCTGCTGTCAGACCCACTCTGAGCCCATCGGGTGGGCTCCGCTGCTCCATCCTCCCCTGCACAGCTCGCAGGGTCCTTACCCACCTGCCTTTTAACGCATTAGCTGGTTTCTTGCCTACCCCAACACTGGGCATTGCATCTCCCAGATCACCCAACACCTGCTCGGGAACATAATGCCTTCACCCTCAAAATTAAGGGCACCTTCTGCTGGTCACACGCCTGTAAAACCTCCTGCGCCCTGCGCACAGCCTGGCTGCAGCCGCTGCAATGAAAAGCGCTATTTCCTCTCCTTTAAGGAATTTACCTAAATCTGCACCAGAGCAAGCATCCTGCCAGCGATTTCTGCCCAGTTCACTGGGACCAGTGAGGTTTGCTGGAAACACAACACTTGAATGCAGTTTTTCGTCAATTTAAATGAAAATCAGGTTATAAAGGTTTCAGTGCACTGCCTTACCTTGAAGCAGGGGCTGCCGTTCATAGGATGATTAAACGTTTCCTTACCTCCTCCTCCTGTTTCTAACCCTGGTTCTTCCTGGCCCGTGCTTCATTTGAGGTGTCCCACCATGGGGACAGGGTCTGCACCAGAAGCAGGCAAGGAGACAACCCAAACTCTAGCTGGGCACCCCCCCCTCCCTTAAATTGCTGCCCCATTAGCGGGTGCCCGGCCCCGCAGCTGGTGCTCGTGTAACACAGCTGATGGGGACGGGGATCCGGGATGAAACCTGCGGTTGGGAGAACAAATGAAGGGGTGGAGGAGGAGGTTTGGGTCCGGCGCCTGGGATGGAGCCGGGGATTTCTCCCACCTACAGCCCCAGCGCTCCCCTATCTGCCCAGGAAACAAACTTGGGTTTAAATATTGACTCTCTCCTGCACAAAACCGGGATGGGAGGAGCTGGCCGCCGTTCTGTGCCTGTGCGGTTTATCAGCCTTCAGTGGAAAACAGAGATTGCCGGGACTTTGGCCTTATCTGCTCCCAGCTACCGGGGGGAGAAGGGAGGCAGCGACGGCAGCCGGGAGAGGGAAACTCAGGTCAAGGCTGCCCTGACTCTCCGTGGGGCCCGGACACTTGGGTCTGGCAGGACCTGGGGAGCAACCAGGTGCTGGTGAATCCCTTGCACCCAGGGAAAGTGCGGCCGAGCTCGGGCCGATTGCATCGTCCTTCCCTTTCTCCCCGCAGAGCCGTCCTGCTAAAGACCCTTCACTTAAAACCAAACCCCCACCCGGCCGTGCTGCTCTCCCTGCTGCGGAGCTGGGAGGAAAGCAGCCCAGCAAACCTCTCCCAATGACCGTACGGTGCCCGTCTGGTCAGCGGGAAGGCCAGGGGCTGCCAACCCCCCCTGCCAGCCCTCGCCAGCCCCGGCAGCGATGGAGGAGCCCCATCTCGCAGCCGCGCATGAGGAAGTGCCCCTGCGGCGCGGCTGCCCTCGATAAAGCTGTTTGCGCTGTTCTCCTGCGGCGCCGAGCTCCACGTAGGCGAAGAATTCTTTAAAAAATATATATCTAAAATAATAACCCTCGCGGAGGAGATCCTGCTGCCGGGGAGGAGGGACCGGCTGGTGCTGGGAAATGCCCAGGGGGGGGACTTGGACCGGCCCCATGCGCCGGGGGGGCCGGGGGCCTTGA